CTCAGCGTCTACTCACTGAGATGGAGATAATAGAGCTGGCCCTGTGCTGGGTACCGGGGACACCCATGAACCTGAGCCCTCAGGACCCCAGGTCTGGGGTGAAGGACACAGAGAGGCGGTCATGACCTATCACATTGAGAGCTGAGCAGGAGGGAAGGACACAGGCGGCTCCTGGAGGCCCTGCCAGGGCCAGGGAGGAGCAGGGAAGGAGGGCAGCATGGAAGTGGGGTGGAGTTGTGGTCCATAGTGTAAGTGATGTTGCCATGGTGACGAGGAAGAGGCCAGGGTGGGGCAGCCCCAGCTGGAGGGCGAAACTGTGAAGGCCAAGGGGCAGTGAAAGTCACTATGAGCAAATGGGTATGGCTGGGGCTCAGGGTCCCAGAGAGGGGAGCAGGCTCCCGAGGGGTCTGCTTGCCATGCTGAAGAAACTTTGGCCTCAGCTGTATTGCTGGAGGGCTGTTTTGCTGGAAGGCGTCTCAGCAGGGAAAGGCACCATTAGGGCAATTTTCAGACCAATAGGTACGTTTTGTCTCACTTGCCTGTGGATACACTGCTTTCTTCAGGGAGCTCCTTCTGCACCTGCAAGGTCAGCCAGGGACTGCTTGGCTCTTGCCTTCACGAACTTTCTAGGTTTTTTTACCTTTTGCTGTGAAGCTGGGTGAAGGCCTGCTTTGGGGCAAGATAGGGTGAGGGATGGGTTCTAGAGGTGATCAGGCTCCACCTGGATCATGGAATGAGGCACAGGCCTCGTGTGTTGCAGGCCACATTCCCAGCTCCTGGTGGCCTCTGAGAGGCACCCAGCTTTGCAATGTGGGAACAAGAAGAAAATGAGCTCTGGAAAATCTAAAAAGGACTGAAATAGACCCTGAGAGTGACCAGGGTGTGACTGGTACTGGGCTCTCTATGCCCCCACCCCAGCCCCTACCATCTACTCCCTTTGCTTCTGTCATCCTCAGCAAGGCAACCAGCATGTGTCCTGGCCTACCATCAGCTTCCTGGTGCTCTCATGGGTCTTCGTGCTCGTCACCATGATTTTGGCTGCAGTTGGGGTAATCACATGGCTGCAGTTTCTCTTCTGCTTCTCCTACATCAAGCTCGCAGTGACGCTGGTCAAGTATTTTCCGCAGGTGCCTCCAGGGCCTTCCTTACTCTTCATGTGGCCATTAGCGTGGGAGGCACGACAGGGTGCAGGTTCTGCTCCCATGGGGCAGCTTGTAGCTGGGGTGTGGAGATGTGAATGGAAAGTTGCAGTGGAAGTCCTGAGTCCAGCCAGAGCGGGGCCTAGCAGAAATCCGGCAGTAAGCACTGCTCCCTTCCCTGGGGCCAGCAGTCGCCTTAGGGTCAGTAGAGACTTCTCTGTACTCCTGCACAGCTCTGAGAGTCAGGTTGTGCAGGTCCCTTGTCTCTCCATCCCGGTCTTTCCTAAGGACATCAGTTCTTCCCCGCCCCCCCACCACCACCCTTGCCCACCATTGCTACAACTGATAACCCTGACAAGCAGCGGCAGGAGACTTGGGAAATAGCCAGTGAGAGGAGGCAGCCCAGTATCCCATCCAGAGAGGTTTTGCTCAGAGGTCCCACCCAGGATACACCTTAGGGACCCTCAGCATGATCCCTCAAGTACTGGGTCCTATTCAGATTCGGAGATCTAAAAGTCCAACATGACTTCCCCCTTAGCCCAAATGGCCCAGGACAGGGGGAGGTGTGAAGTAGCTGCCAGTGGTGGGCTCCACCGCTGAATCTAGGGCCTCCCATAACTCACGCCATTACCCATGGAGGAGCCTCCTTCTCAGTTTCCCCAGTGCAGAGAACCTTGTATTTCATGGGTTCAGGAAAGAGCGCATCCATCCACGCCCTCCAAGAGCCAAGGCATGTCTCTTGGAGGGCATGGAAACAGATCCAGGCTCTTAAGGATGACCAGGACTTAATTTTGTGGGCAAGAGAGGAGGGGGATTCTAGGCCAGGGGCAACCTGCACAGCAGCATAGGCAGAGAAGTACGGGAGGCAGCAAGAAGCATTGTTGAAGCTATAAAGGTAGGGCCAGAAAAAATGTATTCTAAAATACAAAAAAAGTAGGGTCAGGCCTTAGGGGGCTAGGGAAGAAGGCTTCAGAATGGTTGGGGTTGGAGGGAGGTCTTGAGGGAAGTAGGGCCACAGTCCCTGAGTGTGGGAAGGCTTGGGCCTGGTCAACTCAGGAGGCAGGAGCCCCATTTGGAGATGTCTAGAATTGTCCCAAGACTGGAGAGGTGGCCACAAGCATGAAAGAGGGTGGAAGAGGATGAAGAAGGGGACTTAATAGGTAGAGAAGACCTGGGAGAAGACCCACTACGGAGGCCACACCTTTCCTCTTGGTCGTGATAGGGAAGTTGCCCCAGTCAGAGAAGTCCAGAGGGTTCTGGCAGTGGAGGAAGGATGTGGGGCAGTGGCAGTAGAAAGTGGGGGGATGTCCAAGTGGACCTCCCCAACTAGACCTAGGAAGCCTGAGATGCAGTCTCCAGAGCCCAGCCAGAGCTGAGGTGGTAGTCAAGTCCACTCTACAGATGGGAAAAAACTGAGGTTAGAACTTGCCAAGATAATACTCCCAAGATAACCTCCCTGCGGTGGTGGAGCTGGGATCCCAGACCAGGCAGTTGACCCCCAGCCCATATTCATAAGCACAACATGAAGTCCAGGCTGGGTTTCACCTTCACTGGAAATGAGAAGAAAAATCAATTGCTAGAAAACCAGGATAGGGTCTCATCCCAGAACAGGGAAGGATAAAGATGGAGAAGCAACATCTCCCCCTCCTTTGCAGTTGTGAGGTGCAGGGGTGAGAGGAGGAGAGCTGTTTGCTATGTGCCAACATGAGACACAGGGACCTGCCCATACTGTTCTGTCCGCTGGCGGACTTGTCAGAGCCCAAAGGTCACTGTGTTCCTTGATGCTGAGGCCTGGGCACATGAGTGGGAGGAATTAGAGCTGTTCTTGTTTGGAGTGATGGTCACAAGGTCTAAGAGGCGGCCACCCAGCCCCCTCACTGCTGTCCTCTGTCTGACCCAGGCCTACATGAACTTTTACTACAAAAGCACTGAGGGCTGGAGCATTGGTAACGTGCTTCTGGACTTCACTGGGGGCAGCTTCAGCCTCCTCCAGATGTTCCTCCAGTCCTACAACAATGGTGAGTCAGCCAGCAGACTGCCTTCCCATCTGGTGGGCTGAAGGCACAGGGTGGGGGCCAGGCTTCCTAGGATACCTCTCCACCCCATCCACCCCCAGCCCTTCAGCCTAGGAATCTGATCCAATCCCAGTACTCAGGGGTGAGACTCACCTAAGGGGCTTTACAGTGGGAGGATTTGTGGTTTCCTGGGCAGATGAGGACACCTTCCTCCCCGCCCCCTGCCATCACCCCGCAGCCCCCACATCCTCCAGCTCCTTCGGGAGCTGCCAACTTAAAACCAAACTCTGTCCCCTGTGGCTGTTAACAGACCAGTGGACACTGATCTTCGGAGACCCAACCAAGTTTGGACTCGGCATCTTCTCCATCTTCTTCGATGTGATCTTCTTCATTCAGCACTTCTGCTTATACAGAAATAAACCAGGGTATGACCAACTGAACTAGCACCCAGGGACCCCAGCATAAATGGCCCCGGGTCCTGTGCCCACCAGGAAGGTTGGGGCAGAGCCTGGAGCGCAGGGCTGGCTCAGTGTGCTGACAGTGTTGCAAGTGCTCTCTTCCTCAAGGTCAAACACCTGACACACAAACCAGCCTGCCCTCAGCCAGAACTGTCCCAGGCCAGGCTGGGAGGAGCCTCCCTCTGAGACAGATGGCTGACTCTGCTTTGAGATGGAAAACCACACCACTGACGGCCCCTCCCAGGCCTTGCCAGCCGGGTATCTGGCCCTCCTGCGTCTTGATGCCGCCGTCTCTATTTTCTTTAAGGCTTCAGGCAGCACACAGGGGTTCTGACAGCCGTCCCAGGCAGGATTGGGTGCTGAGCTTGGAGCCGAAGGCCTTGACCTAAGTGACCAGTGTTTCTGGGAGCAGCTTGAAGGACTGATCCCGCAGTTGTGAGCCACGGGTGCTTTGATGCCACTGGTGTGTTCCCAGAGACCCAAGCAGCCAGTTGGTGTGGCCAATGGACTCAGAGGTGCTGGTGCTGGTGGCAGAGGGGACAGGACTTTTGGGATTAGGCCTTGGTAGGGGGGGTCCCTTCTCTGAAGGCCACATGCTCTGAGCATCCACCTTCCTGAAACTCATGCTACATAATTCAACACGCACAACCATATCACAGGCGGCCCAGATTAGGGTCTGGTAAAGAAACTGGATTTCAGAGCCTTGAGGTGCCCAACAGATTGGTTCTGAGCTAGGCTTATGCCCAGACCCTCTGGATCTTTACCATACTACCCCCTTTTGGATTTTTTGGAGGGATGTTTTGAACTGAGTGGCTAAATTTCTCCACCTTCTGCCTACCTCTACTTTCCCAGAGTCAGGGACCCTATGTAAACCCCCTCAATTGCTCCTTATCTTGTGTCTGAGTATAGGACACGTCTGTGCGTGCACACACATACCAGTCTGTGCCTTAGAGGCCAGTAAGACCTACCAAATGGTGAGAGTAGTTCCCATGTAGGGGAGAGGCTGGACCCTTCCTTCACTTACCCCAGACACCTACCTGAGACTCACCAATTTTTTGGCTACTCAGGAGCCTCCCTTAAGGACTTGACACCACTTCACATACAACTCATGGGCCCAGCCCTTATTCCAAACCTCCTTCCCTCTTCTCCCAGGCAGCTATCCTTCCTGTGGCAGGAGGGGAGGGTCCCAGGATGTGCCTTGTCAGTTCACTCTCAGACTTTGTACTGCAAGATTAATGTGAGGTGCCTGTATCCTTAATTAAAACCTGATTTGTTTCCTTTGTGCACACTGAGCATTTACCAGATGTGGGAGGCAGGTATGTTGGCTTAAGAACCAATCCTTAGGACTTGGGGAGAATTTGGGTAAGGAAACACATGGGTAGGTTACACAGTGATGGCGAGCTGGCTGCATGCTGATGGGGCACTTCATCGGAGAAGCCTCTTGGGTAGTGCAAGATGCCTGCCTGCTCAGGGCCAGGTAGGTCGTGTGGGTACTATGTCTGTACAGGGCATGTTGCTCAAGCTGGGGTTATGAGCATGGGTTGGATGGGTTAAGGGCACTCTCACAGTGCCGGCGGGGGTTGGGGGGTGGCATTTGTACTGGGCCAGGCAGAGGCCCTGGTAATCTCCCAACTTACCCACATCTCATCTGATCACAGCCTCTGGAAATGTGGAGCTGCACTCCTGTCTGTGATAAACTGTATGCTCTCAAGAGTCGTAGAGGACAGGTATTTTTTCCCATGAACCCCTTAGTGCCCCAAGTGGGGCACAAGCTAGGGGACGTGAAGAGTTCTCCACCCCACTTCCAGTGCAGTGGCTCCCAGATGTTCCCACAGATGTGGCCCTGGCCACACAGCAACAGGCAGGCCTGGCATCAGCTGGGCTTCATCTCAGAAGTGGTTGGGGGCCAGGCTGGTCAGCCCTACCACCAAAGCTTGGAGTACTGGACTACTTGGAGTAGCTGCCATCCACCCCTAGACGTCCCTACCCCATGCCTCAGCAAAAACCCCTTGTAAATTCCAGTACTGTTTATTTGGGCCCAAGATGTCAGGCACGGGGCAATTTCATACTACCCCATTTCCACAGGAACCAAAGCAACGCTGTTGTTCCCATATGTGATTTAGTAAGCTAAATTCAAAAGTAGAATTGGCATCTCCAAATAGTAAGGTAAAAATGCTTCTGTATCAAAGTTGTGATTAAAAAAATATAAAGTTAAACCCACAGGTATAGAAGGAACTGGCAATCCTGAGAACTGCCCTGAAATGTCAGCCTTGGACTTCATCTAAATCTTGTAAGCAGGTGAACCCTGGGGAGGCCATGGGGTAAACTGTGAGCCTGCCTGGCTTCCGTTCAGACGAACTTCTGTAGTGTCTCTGGCTGTGTGTCAAGTCCCTGCTGGGGAAAGCAGGAAAAAAACATGGGGTATAGTCACTGCAGAGCTGAGACATGGGGGCAAGGCCAATCCCTAGAGCCAGGGCTCAGTGTGGGAAAGGCTGGCCCCACCCAGCATTCCCCAGCCTCCTACCCATCTGGGCACTGCTAAGGCCAGACAGCCCCAGGGTCTGGGGAGGCCAACAGACTGATAGTGGTGGGAGGTGGGGAAGGAAGGCTGGGTCAGGTCCCAGGGACACGCCTCTGGGACCAGCTCTGGCCCTTCCAAGCCAGGGGCCAGTACTTAGCAGAAGCCAGGATGAGGTGCTGACAGAGCGTGGACATGTGTCACTGTAGGCAGGCAGGCCCAAGTCCGGGACCATGGCGGGCTGCTAGGACAGCATGGACTGCTGCACTGCCTTCTGCAGCGACTGCCGTGTCACCAGCAGGCGCACCACCTCCTCCGAGCGCTTGGTGAGCCGCTTCCGGGCTTGGTCGTGCGTGACCATGGTCATGTCCCAGCCATTCACCTGGTCCAAGGAGAAAAGACAGCCTACCTCAGCTCTCTGCCCTCTGGGATCTGGAAGCAGGATGGGCTTTGGGGTCCTGGCCCACCCAAACAGTCTCCCAAGCTGATGTCTCTGGGCTGGGGGATCCCAAGCGCCACAATGGAGGCACACAGAAGAGAGAGACCACTCCCTTCTGGGGGCAACTCCAGTATGTGCTCCAAAGTGCTTCAGTGAGCTTCCCAGGTTCCCCAGGAGGCAAAGGTAGCCCCTGACTCCTAGTGCTTCTGGCACCCCAGAGCCTCTGGCCCAAGCCTTGGTTTCCTCCTCTGGGACATGTGTTACCTGCATAATCTTGTCTCCAATCTGCAGCCCAGCAATTTCAGCAGGGCCTCCTTCAGATACTCGTGTGACGTAAATGCCCTGGAAAAAAGCAGCCCAGGTCCAGCCCCAGTGTCATTGGACTGGCCCATTATCCGGAGAGCAAAGCCCAGCATGGCAAATTCCCAGCCATCCAACTGATTCAGCACCAAGTCTGCCCCCAACACAGGCTGTGCTAAGACAGGGCTGCCCCACCATGCTCTGGCCCCTGCTGCTGGCCTGTTCCTGTTCCTCCTGCGCTGGGAGGTCTATTTCCCACCCCCATCCCTACTCATCATTTCTTAAACCTTCTTAGGACTGTTTGAAAGACAGAGCTCTGCTCCTTCCATGAAGGCCCAGGAAGCAGAGACCCACCATCTCAGGTCTTTGTTCCCAGTGGACCCTGGTCCCCCTCACCTTGTCTGTCTTGTCTTCTGAGAACGGATTCTGGGAGGGATCCTGGTCAATTCCACCTCCAATGCTGAAGCCCAGTATTAAGTTCTCACCTTGACGCAGCTTGTGAATTTCAACTCTTTGCTGGCAAAGGAAAAAACAGGGTGGGGGCAGGTGGGTATGTGGACAATGAATCTGGTCTATGTCCAGCAGCAGCCTCAGGCTGCTGGCCCAGCCCAGAGCCAGGCCAAGAGGGTGGAGCCCAAGGCCCTCTGCAGAATTCCAGCTGGTCACCAAACTGGGAGACTGGGGCGGGGTAAGGTTGAGACTCAGAACTCAGCCACAACAACTGACCTATGGAACCTTCTGTCCTAGCCTCTGTGACCTTCCTGTTAGTCTCAGGCACCAGCTTTAGTCAATACGTACTCTAAGCTCCTGGTCCAAGAGCCAGGAGGCTGTGCTGCTATAGATGGGGGCCTGTGTCCCAGGGGAGGGACCACACAGGGCAGAAGGGTCAGGCCCTGAAAAAAAAAAAAAAAAAAAAAAAAAAAAAAACCACACAAAAAAAAAAACACTGCAGGTACTCCTTGTTGAGGCAGCTCATTGCTGAGCCACCCCTGTCAAGGACAAGACTAAAGATGCTCCAGAAAAGCAGAGAAGTTCAAACTTGCACAGAAAGAAGAGGAAGTGCGGTCCTGGCCAAGGGACAAGAGCAGAGGCTTGAAGGTGCTATGGATACATGTCCATGAGATGAGTGTACCCTACAGGACTAGAAGTGGGAGGTGAGGTGAGGCTGAGGCCGGATTAAAAAGGCTGTGGAGTACACGCGCAAGAGGGAGGGGGTTTGTCTGTAAGCCCAGACCCTGCTCTTGTGCATGTAGGAGGCAGAAAAGGGTTCTAGAGCTCTCCCACCATACTCTGCGGCTGTGGTCCCCAAAATGCTAGGCTCCTTTCAAAGCCCTCAGCAGGAGCCCTCCAATCACCAGACTGTAGGGGCTAGACCAGATCACCCCACCCCAAAAGTTGAGTTTTAACAGGAAGAAAAAAAAAAACAAAAACAAAGTGACTTGATCTGGATCAACCAGACCTTGAAAGGAATGACAGGAGTTTGGACACCTAACTTTGATTCTGGGCCTACTAGGGCTCTCAGGAGTCCAGGGATAAGATTGGTCATGGTCAGGTTTGATGCTAGAACGACCGACCAGCTGGGCACTCAGGAGGACATGGATATCTTCCAGCCTTGGGATGTGGAGGACATGGGACGTGACTACTTGGAAAGTGAGATCAACAGACTTGAGGACTGCTTGCGGTGGAGAGGAGTCAAGGGGAGCACCCAGCCAAGTGGCCTGGCTGAACACAACTCTCAGCTGGGGACACAAGGAGAAGCATCTTGGAGTGCCAGGAGCTACCCAAGCAAGTGTCCAGAAGGCAAATGGACCTATGAAGCCACAGTTCAGAGAAGCCAAAATGGTTTTAACATTCTCAAAATGTGGGTATCCCCTTTTATCACATGGGATAAGGCAGGGACTAGGGAGGAGTCCACCCCTACCCCATCCCCAATCCAAAACAGCAGAGGGAGAAGACCCCACCCACCACTTTCAGACATACTCCTAGTGTTAGCAAGAATTGGGAGGGCATGGTCTTAGAGTTCTGAGGAAGGCCAAAGGACCTGCCAGGACAGGAGAGAGGGGCAGCAGGAAGTGTGACTCCGGAAGCCCACTAGACTTAGGTCTTTGTGCCCAAGTGTGAACTCCTCCAGGCCTGCTCCACCTCCTCCAACACACACCTTTGCACACCTTTGCCCCACCCTCAAAATTAGAGGGGAGTACAGGCCCTTAGGCTGGAAGACAAGGCCCTCTCCCAGACTTACTAGGTGATTACCAGGCAGGTAACTGCCCCTTTCTTGTGCTTCCCCTACACTGCCTTTCCCACGCCCCATCTCTCCACCCCCCACCCCAAATCTAAGAAGCAAACCTGGCCCTCTTTGAGGCAGCTAGGGGTCTGGAAAAGCAAGGTTGGTGCAGTCAGGGTGAAGCGTAGGACAGCTGTCTGCAGGTGCAGAAATGTTTCTTACTAGCTAAGGCTAGAGCTGGTTCTCTAAGGTCAACCTCACAGGACACTTTAGTCAGTAGCTTCACACCCTGTCACCGCCTGACTACCCTGCACACCCATCTGAGATACTGCAGTCTGTCCCGTGGCTTCAGGACTGGGACTTCCATCTGACACAGTGCCTACCCAGCAGGCATCTCTTCTCAGAGAGATCTGGGTTCTTCCTGAGGGCTTCCTTTAGGGCTGAACGGGAACAGACCTCTTTCCGGAACTCAGTTTCCCCACCTCCGCCTCGGAGTTTGCCTCCTGGCCCCATTCAGCTTTGGCACTGGTGTCTGAATCTGATGTCCCAGTCTCTTCTTCCCCTTACCTTTTCTAATAGCATTTGGCACCCGAGACAAGCCAGTGGGGAGAGCCAGGGACCTGAGCTAGCCCTCAAAGGGTCTGGTCTCCTCAGTGCCAGGCGGGGAACCTGGACATTGTCCCAGGGGCTGGGGAGGCAGGAAAAGTTTGGAGCAGGAGCGAGCCAGTTGCGTGCGCCTCCACTCTGGAGCGGGCGGCGCGGGGTCCAAGCAAGCAAGGCTGGACAGGAGGGATAAGGGACTGCTAGTCAGGCCCCGGCCACCTCCACCCCAGAAATCTCCCTCTGGGCGGCGGTGGCGGCGGCGTCTCCTGCAGGGGAGGAAGCATTTCCTCATTCCAAAGGCTTCGACTCACGGATGTCGCGGCTGGCGCCCGCCCCCCGCAGCTACCCAGCTGGGGACTCGGGCCGGGAAGGGGGCGCTCTCCCGATACTCCTACAGCTGGGGACTTTCTCCTCGGTCCTTCCCGCCCCTGCGGGCTGGATGGAGTCCAACAAGGTGGCGGTAGTGCGTGGGATCTGATCGCGATTCCGGGTGTTCCGGGGCGCTTGGGTCCCAGCCATTTCTGTTGCCTGGCTGGGGAAGACCGCGGTCCCGCTGGGACAGAGCCGGGACCGGAACCCTGGCCGCAGGTTTGCAACAGCTCTGGGTTCAACGCTTTGTCAACCTGTTTGGGGTGTCAGTTTTCCTATCTGGAGAGTGGGGGCAAGCCAAGACCAAGAGAAGCCCGCGAGCGCACTCACCACCACGGCGGTGACCGGCTGGCCCGGGACGTAGGACATCTCGACCCCAATCTGGAAACCAAGCCCAACTCAGTGAAGCCCGCAGCGAAAATCCCAGCAGCCGCGCCCTCCCGGGTTAACAAAGGCACCCCGATTCGGGCCGCCCCTTCATGAATAGTTAACAAAGCCCCAGCCAGTCACCGGTCGGAGCGCTGTTCGGCTTTCGGAAGTCCCAGTGCGTGCGTAGAAAGGCGGGGAGTGGAGGGAGCGTAGAAAGGCGGGGGAGGGGTGGGCGCCCGCGGCGTACGCGTCAGGGGGCGAGAGAGAGGCTTTGGCGCATGCGCAGCGTGGATCCTCCCAGCAACCTCCCGCGCAAGATGGCGCTGAGCGACTGTCTGCCGCTGGCCGTCTGAAGGAACGCCACGTGTCTGTGTCCGCCGTCGTGTTGCAGGTAACTGGGTGAGCCTGGGTGGGCCGGCCCGAGCCCGCAAATCTCTGGGTCTTTTGAAGGCCCGAGATCCAGGAGTCGTGTGAGGTCTTGGGAGTCCCGGGGGGAGGGGCGCCGTGAACGTAACTCGCCAGGCTCTGGGGGTCACTTGTAACTTGGTTTCCTCCGCAGCTCCGCGAAAAAACAGGCTGAGCCCCGGCGAATGCGATGGCCGCTGTGGTGGCCAAGCGGGAAGGGCCGCCGTTCATCAGCGAGGCAGCTGTGCGAGGCAACGCCGCCGTCCTGGATTACTGCCGGACCTCAGTGTCAGCTCTGTCGGGGGCCACGGCCGGCATCCTCGGCCTCACCGGCCTCTACGGCTTCATCTTCTACTTGCTTGCCTCCATCCTGCTCTCCCTGCTCTTAATTCTCAAAGCGGGAAGGAGGTGGAACAAATACTTTAAATCACGAAGACCCCTCTTTACAGGAGGTCTCATCGGAGGCCTGTTCACCTACGTCCTGTTTTGGACGTTCCTCTATGGCATGGTGCACGTCTACTGAATGGGGGCAGGGATGACTTTTTAAAAAAACACGACAGATTGGGAGGACTGTCGCCAGAAATTAACACCGTGTAAACTGAGTTTTTAAGTTGTTGAATTCGCTGCTTGTTCTGTAACGTTATAATTTATATCTGAAGACGAAGAGCCTGTAATATTCTTCAGATTAAATGAAGCGTGAGACACTCCGTGGAGTATTTTCCTCCCTTAACTCATACCCCATGTCTGCCGTGGGTGCAGAAGGCTGAGTTTTGACTCCTAGAGAGGTTGGGCTGGGTCTTAGCCTTCTGTAATTTCCTTGCATTTAACACAGGACATCCAGAGAGGGCCACTATGGACCAAGGAAAGAGAAGTTTCTGTTAACATCCCAAGAACTAGTAACAGTTAATATTAAGCGTTTCTTATATGCCAAGCATTGTGCCTTGTACCTTTTACTCCCATTATCTCGTTTAATTCTAGCAATATCCAATGGGGTAGATATAATTATTATCCCTCATTGATGAATCTGAGGCTCAGGTTAACTATACCTCTGCCATAAGAGGCACAGCTAGAAAGAGAGCCAAGTTTGAAATACAGGTCTTTTCATTGCTCTTGCTGTCCTTGCTGAGTGTACCTTTTCATATCCAAGCTGTCCTCAGTAACCGCTGCTTTCAGCTATGAATTACAGTTCCATTTCATCTAGTTACAGTTAACTGTTATTTCCATTTTAAATACGGTCAAGCTCTTTTCTAGAATATGTCTAATGGAGATTAAATAGAAGACATTTAAGCTAAACTTTGGGCTTGTTTAGACTGTAGTGTAATGCTTCTGTCTATATGCTAACCCGTGATCTCCTCTTGTCGGGGGTATCCTAGAATAAAGTACAGACATTTGAGAAATACATATTGCATTACAGTGACAGTAGTGAACATGTTGCTTGTGGAATTTGTAGTCTAACTGGGAAGACAAGTGTTACCTAATTTCACAAATATTTAAATTATGGTAAGCTGGGAAGACAGAACATCGCCCCAAACTGAGCCCAGGTTGCGGAGTGGGGATCAATAAAGTCTTTGAGGGGTGCCTGGGTGGCTCAGTCGGTTAAGTGTCTGACTCTTGATTTGGCTCAGGTCATGATCTTGGGTCGCTGGATGGACATTCAGGCTAGGAGCTCAACAGGGGGTCTGCTTCTCTCCTCTCCCTGCTCCCCTCCCTAGCACATGTGCTCATGCTGTCTGTCTGTCTCTCTCTCTCTCAAAATATATAAATCTTAAAAAAAAGTCGTCTTTGAGGAAATTACATTTGAGACCTCAAAGTTGAATAATAAGTATGAAGAAGGGGCTACTTTCACAAGAAAGCACATGTGTGAGGACCACTGGGCAGGAAGGAGTTTGGCCTGTATCTGGAGAGTTGGAGGCCAGGACCAGGACTTGGAACAGATCATGGAAGGCTACAGTGGAGATTTTGGCCTTGATCCTTAGAGCAATTGGAGGAAGCTTTTGGAAGTTTTAGCCAGAAGTGATGTGATCACATTCGGATTTTTTCAAAAGAATCAGATCAGAAGAGGATCTGGACTTGAATCCAAGTCCCCTTTTATAGACAGTTATATGGCCCATGGCCAATAACAGATTGATCTGGGACCCAGGCCTCATGAATCCTTTGGGGTTCTGGACCACATCCTTGCACACGAAGGAAAGACAGATGAGGCCACAGCTTTGCCTGCCTCACCCAATGATCTCTGAACCCTATCTCAGAACACCACTGAAGAGACTCACACACATACACACCCTTCTCAACCTCCCTGTCCTCTCAGGGCTTTTCTCTGCATGGAAAGGGAAAGTTCATTCCTGATGTGGAGTAAAGAGGCAGTCCTACTGGATTGGGAGGTTGGGGCAGTGGGGGGCAGGGGGCAGTGTGGAATAAACTGATTTAACCATTTCTCTATCACTAGGCAGTAAAGTTGTTTGAAATATTCACTATTATAAAAAAAAATATTGCAGAGAATGTCTTTATATCATTTTGAGTAACTTAATAAACTCCTAAAACAAGATTAAAAACTTGATTCCAAATGCTTTCCAGAGTTTTATCAGATTACACTCATTGAATGAAAAAGTACCAGTTTTATGGTACCTTCCTAGCCTTTTAATGTTTGCTCATTGAAAGTTTTCTTCCTTCCATTTGAATTTCTTTGCAAGTAATAGGGAACATAATCTGTTGCTCATTGATTGTTCCTGTGTCTGCCTCTTGGTGTTAGTTTCTCCTTAAATTTTCTTCTAAAACACAGAGTGACCAAAAAGATATGAAAGGGAATAAAAGTCAAGATACATTTAAAGTTAAAACCTTTTATTGTTTTATAACCAAATAAAAATATCAGAATGCATTTACCGGGCAGGTCCCAGACAATGGTTGCCATCTTTCCTCCTTTAACTCTGTGCACTGGCCTATGGGAAAACAAACAGCTGGAAGAAAGGTGCCCCTTTTCAACAGACAGTACTCTAGGGTCCACTGGAGAGTGCTCTGAGGAAAGTTGCATTACTTGGGTGGGGAAGGGTGGATCACAATCAAGTAGAACTCTTTTTCAGACATGCAAGATGCCATTCCAAGTGGGATGATCCAGGGACTCTGCAGGACACCATAGTCTTTAGCTGGGGTTCTCAGATTCCTGGAGGAAGTCACGTTCCCCTTTACAGCTCTGAGAAAGGAAGAACTGATGGGGTGGTGGGGGCAAAAAGGCAGCCATGACTGGTCAGTCCTAGTGACCCCTGTATCAGGAGTAGAGGACATTACACTCTAATGGCTGGTCCCCTTGATAGTAGCACCCAATTTACAAATCCCATTGGCCAGCAGGATGGCACTCCCAAGGCATGACATTAATTATTAGGAAAATACCAGGTTGATGGCTTTAGGCCAGGGCCTGAAGTTAGGCATAGATGGTTCAGGTGAGCCTGTAATGTCAGCATGGAAGGGAGCTCTGGAGAGGGTGGCATGCTCATCTTCCTGATAGGCAACTGGGCCCCTGAAGGAAAGGGGCTTTCCCAATGGGGCTTAGGTTCCACTTCACTTCCCATTCCAAAGCCAGTTTCTGTAAGATTCATGAGCTTCCCACTTATGTACCAAGATTACACAAAAAAGGGGGGTTGCTGTGCAAAAGCAAGGAAACACAGTGTGCAACACCATCCAGAAGCTGGAATGGGGTCACTGGCTTTTCTGAGCACACAACCCATGAAGTGTAGGGGAGGTCTCCTGGAAAGCTTGGCTGGACTGGAAGCTAAGTCCTCTGTGACAGCGAAGTTTAATGGGGCAACCCTTAAAATCAGAAAACGTTAAGATAGCCTCATAAAACCAGATTCAGTCACACTGTCTCCATCCAGTTCCTCAGTTACTCCTTTTCATGTCGAGGTGTTTATACACGTGTGGTTCCCTTATCTGGAATGCTTCCCATCACCTAGTTAGACTGCTTTCATATTTCAGCTTATATGTACGATCCTTGGGGAAACCTCTGGCTATCCCTTACTGAAAATTCAGTTTGTGATCATAGACGTGACCACGGATTAAGGCTCACTTCCTCCCAGACTGTAAGCACTTGCTCAGGGACGGTTTTAGTGTTTCTCACAACTGTGTTTTCAGATTTAGTCCCACACCTGTCAACAGGTACCCAATAAATATTTACTAATTGAATGAATACTGTAGGGAGCCACTTCCATGTAAGACAAATAGTACAACTTTCCCCAAGTTATGTGGCTGCTGCAAAGCAATTCTAAAAACAGGTTCAAAGAAACCGACTAATTCCTAAGCAGCCATGATGCCTGCCTTTTTTACTTCCTCCCAAACGTAAAAATAACATGCTAGATTATTAAATCCTAGGGTTTGCCTTAGGAAGTGAACAGCATAGTGGATCACCCAGATTATTCACTTTTGATTCAGAGAGCAAGTGGGCTTGTTGACAGGTTACCAGCCCAGAACGAGGGAGCTGCTTGCTCCTTGTAGAGCACGGAGCTGTTAGGGGGACCATGCTTCTTTGCCCCAGGGGCACGGCCTTCTTGCAGGTCCCTCTGACCTTCTCCAAAGGCCCCCAGTGGAAGGATGCTTCCGTCCTCCTGTGTGCGGGGAAAACCAAACCCTGGTAACTTGAGGGAGGCCCAGAAAGAGCACTTCCAAAGAGGACACTGCCTAGCGTCTGTCCGGGTAACTGTGCAAACAAAGCCCTGGAGCTTGCCAGGCCAGAGGCAGCACCATAGGCCTTTGCTCCTGAGCCATCAGACAACAGTGAGCGATGAGTTCTGAGTCTCTCCCTTGGGGTTTACACAGGGACTCCTCAGACACGGGAAGAGGGAGAAATGAGCTAGCAGACTCCCCAGCCCAGTACTTAAGGTGTCCTCCATCGAGTCCCTTTCTGACAGAGGAGACTTGGTCTGATGTTGCAAGCATCAGACAAAGTTCATTTCCTGTGTGAGGGCACAAGGAACCACTGCGTAGATGCTCCGCAAAACAGGAGAGCCTCTTGGAATGGGTAACACAGGTTGCCTCGTGGGAGGGAAGCTTTTCATTCTCTATAATCTTTTGTACCTTTTAGTTTTTGAATCATGTAAGTATTATCTAGTCAAAATATTTTAATTGAAATATACGGAGCTTGCCACTTTCCTGGGGTGGGGTGGAATCCTATTGCTCTCCAAGTACAACGTGTATAAGTCTGGCCTAGAAATAGGCAGCACCTGTCAAAGCCAGCCTTTTCCTTTCTTGGACCCAGTCTTGGCATATCTCTTTAACCAGTGCTCTCAACCAATAATGTTCACACGAATCACCTAGGAATCTTGCTGAAATACAGGTTCTGAGGCTGATGCTGCTGGTCTACAGGCCACACTTGAAGAAGTGAGGCTCTCCAGCCACTAGGGGGGAAGCAGCTTGGGTCTGCAGGGTGGAGGCAGGATGGAGCAGGGTGGGGAAGGAGAGGCTGGGGTGAGGGTTAGGGCCGCCTTATTAACAGTTGCTTCCCGGCCAAGTGAGCTCCACCTATTGTATCTCCTTACCCCTTCAGACCCAGCCTTGGAAGAGAAAGGGAGGGAGACTAGGTCGGGACACCCAGCTGCACAGAACTGCAAGATACAGACAGATGCTTTCCTATTTGGGCGAGACACTATGCCCAAAGCTTCCAGAGACTGGGTGGGTAGACTGGAGCAGAGGCCTCCTTGCCTCTGCTTCCCCACCTTAGCTGGAAGCCCTCAGAGGCTGCCTCTCCCCTCAGGGGCCAGTTACCTCCTTACACACATCCAGTCCTTTCCTGGTTGCCTCCTTGGCCACCTTTAAATTTTTTCCCTGAGGGCAAGGCCAAACGTCCCCTTGGATGTTAGCCAGAGTCTTTCTCCAAGGAGCCACCATTCTCAACAGGGATTTGTGAAAGTCTCAACCAGAGGCTGGAGGAAGGCCAGGGTGGCTGAGGCTAGGTGTGAGGTCTGCTGGCTCTGGAGGGAATTACATGTGTGCTCCCCTCCCTGAGGGCCAGGCCAGCATCTCATTTAAGCATCTCTTGGATAGGGCACAGCCCATAGCAAATAATATGTATCATATGAATGCATGAATGAATGCATGAACATTTTTCATTTCAGAAAAATAACTCTAGTACCACTCAGGCCCCTGACCTTCCCCCACTTGCTTCTTCCAGGCCTCCTTTTGTAGATCTGAGCCACTCTGGCCACTAGGAGGCTGCCTCACCCCTGCCACACACCCAATACACAGAACAAAAAGCTCCATAGCAAGATCCCAAAGAGCAGAAGAGATGGCAGTGCCTGGAAGCACCTGTCCCATGCAGACACAAAGACAATTTTCAGTTCAGGGCTGCAGGTGCCTTGGCCCCAACATCTTCAGCAAATCTGCTCTCAGCAGATTTGGAGGCTAGGCCTCCGCTGTCTGCAGGTTCTGTAGCTGCTCCGCATCGACCTTTCCGTTCCCCAGGTGGCCAGACCTGTGTGTAGATGGGTGAGGGGGCACACAGAGGACAATTGGGGACCCTGTGAATGGGGACAGCCACCCTAAAGGCAGACCCCACCCGCAGCAGCCTCTCACTGGCAGCCCAGCAGACAGAGCGAGTCCCTGGCCACCGCCCAGACACACGCAGATGCTCGGCGTCTCTGGAGCTGTACCGGCAATGAGCAGCAGCCACCATGCTGGTACGTGGGGGGCACCCAGAGCCTCCCACAGCGACAGGCAAGGAAGGCATCTGATGAGGAGCAGGGGAATGGAGGGCTTGATAAGGCAGAAAAACCTGATGGAGAAGAACTGGATTCTAGAGATGTACTGGCCGTTTCAAATCCAAGCTCTGCCATTTATCAGCTGTGTGACTTGAGCAAGTTACTTAACCTTTCTTGCTTCCATTTCCTCATTAGGAGAATAGGGACTATTGGTGTCCACCTCCCTAAGTTGCTGAAACGAGTTCATACACACGAAGAGCTCAGAGAAGTGGCAGGCAGAGAGAGCCGAGTAGACGGTGGTACTGCTATGATCCTAATGCTGGGACAGCAGAGCAAACAGGCTGCTCTGTGGGGACTTAAGGGCATGGGGGAAATAACGGGCAAAATGGAGGAGCTAAAGCACCCCCTCCCCACAAAGTCCAGCGTGGATGGGCTCTCCTGGGAGCAGGGAGCAGAGGAGAGGGCCCAGCCATCTCTGCAAGGCTCATTCTCAGGGCCTCTGCCCTGCAGCCCCTCACCTGACGGGCTCAAGGATCTGCTGGCATGCGCAGCCATCCCCCTTCTGGCTGCTGCCTCCGTGGTGCACCTCTGGCTGCTCGGCCTCCTCTGCCTCTGGGGTCCCGCCCTGCTTCGAGGACTCTGCAAGCCCCGGGGGGACCCGTAGGATTCTGGGCGGGACAGGATCAGTTAAACCTGGCCTGCACAGCCCAGCGGGGGTTGGGAGGCACCCCTCTTCCTCCAGCAGCTCACAGCAGTGGGGTGGGGGCGGGTGGTGGCAGAGCTATGAGAGTTCTGTCAGGGTCAGGGCCAAGGGCTCAGCCTGACTCAGGGCTGGTTCAGTCCAGGGAATGACACGTTGTGGTGGGGTACAGGGGGTGCCCAGGTGCCTATCTGGAGCCCACCATCTGCAATTCCCCTTTTGATCCCAACTCCTCCAGAATGGCCGGGCCAGAGTCCCTTTCTCCTTCCAATCTTCCCACAGACATCAGAATTTCCCACTAACACTATGTTCTGCAGCTATGAATACATACCACCAAGCTCGGGGGCCCAAAGAGCCTGGAAATAGACCTCCACCGTCCAAAACAGGAAATCCATCTTTTTCTTCCCTTACCACTCCAGCTTCCCTTAATCCCTGCCCATCGGACAACCATGTCCAAGAATACGAAAATTTAAGTGCTAGAAGGCTCACAGAGAGAGAACCTGAGGCCCAAGAAAGGCTGGGACTTGTCTGAAACCACATGGTAGACAGTGGCAGATCACCTGCGCGTGGCCTGTTTGTTTCCAGCCAGCTGCTCACAGGCAGCACCAGGTTCTGGAAAGCGTGTTCTCAAAACATCCCACCTTCTACGGCCCTTCCAGGGGAGCTCCCTCCCAGCAGTTCAGCCCTGCCTCCCTCCACACCCCAAGTGCCACCATCCAACCACTGTAAAGTCTCTAGGCTGGGGAGGGGGAGGCTGATCAAGGGGGCTCCACAAGGGTCCCCTCACACTGCTGGGGAGGAAGCGTCACTGACCTCACTTCCTCGTACTTCTTGTCTCGGTAAAAATGGCTCTTCTTGATGAAGTAGATAAGTACCAGGTCACAGAAGAAAGCTCCCTGCAGCAAAAGAGTTGAGGTTCCTGACTCAGAATCCTAGACTTCCAGAAAGTGCCCTGACACATGACACTTAGTACATCCCATCTGATCTTGCACCAACCCCTAAGAGACATCATTGTCCCCAGTTAACAGATGAGGAAACAGGGCTCAGCAAGAGGCACCTTTGTCAAAGGCCACAAAGCCGGTCCACGGTAGAGCGAAAGCCTGCTCTATCAGGCCAAGCACCCCCTGCACTGCCCTGACCCCATTCAATCATGTCTTCAGTGAACGTCTGCTGGGCAGTCACCACGAGACTGACACTGCGCTGGAATGCAGGAGGATTAAGACAATGGGACCCTGTGGGGACCGTCCCTTGGGTGCAGGAGACAAGTATGTAAATGATCACAGTGACATAGCCTATGATAAGGACCCGAGCAAGGAAGCAGAAGACAGAACTTTACTCAGCCTGGGGACGGTTATCTGGGCTGAATCTTGAGGGTTGGATGGAGTTTATACAAGGCAAAAAAAGAAAAAAGAAAGAAAAGAAAGAAAGAAGGAAAAGAGAAAAAGAAAAAAAAAAAAAAAGCCCACCCAGGAAGGGCACTGCACAGGTAGCAAAGGAAATTCCACAGGGCCTGTGTTGCAAAAGTGAGAGACACTTCTGGAGAGGTGGGATGGGGAAGAGCTGGTAAATTTTCTTACAATGCCTTTGAAACTTTGGTCCTAATCCCTTAGGGGAAGACAATGAAGAGCCTTGAACAGGGGCTCAAAGCAGTCAGAATTGTGGCATTTTAGAAATTTAGGTTGGTCCCTTCGGTACCCATCTCCCACTGTGAGAGATGGGTCAGAGGGGATTTGAAGAACAAGGCCAACAGGGGTGGTCAAGGAAAGATGGAAGAGGACAGAGCTAATCCAGCTGGAACCCACCGACACTGTTCACAGGGGCCTTGAGCAGAGTGCATGGTGTAAATGCCACAGAGGGCCACTCCCCCAACAGCCCGCAGGGGAAGGGGTGTGTCCTGCAGGGCTGAGGAGAGGGTGAGGGGGATTGGGGGCTGAGAGATGGGCTCATAGGTGAACCCAGGCCTCTGACTCTGGGTACTGCATGACTCTCCCCCAACCCTGCCCCACCGAGATGTCCAAAATGTTATCAGTTGTTCCACAGAGAACACTCTTCCACCTGACCTGGCATCTATACCCCTTTCCCTGTTACCTTTTTTTTTTTTTTTTTTTAGATTTTATTTATTTATTTCACAGAGATCACAAGTAGGCAGAGAGGCAGGCAGAGAGGGAAGGAAGCAGGCTCCCCACTGAGCAGAGAACCTGATGCAGGGCTCGATCCCAGGACCCTGGGATCATGACCTGAGCTGAAGGCAGAGGCTTTAACCCACTGAGCCACCCAGGCGCCCCCCTTTCCCTGTTACCTTTATTTCACAGGTATGTACCGCATGCCCTTGTGTTCTGACTTACCCACAACATAGGGAAGTAATCACTGACAGTGGCCTGGCTTAAGAAAGTCACATAAGCAAACATGCAAGACAGTGGCTCTTTGCAGTAAAGAGGAATCATTTGGGGCTCACTTTCATCGACCACATCTCAGGAGAATGGCCTCATTGAAGCCTGTTACTCGTTGATACCGTTACACAGTTCCCCGGTCTTAATAAAAAGTCCATCCTCAGTCCTGCCGGAAGCCTCTAACAAGGCAGAAAGGGCAGACAGGACGAGGCTGCCGGAAACGCTGGCAAGGGGCTTGGAGCTGGGATGGGCATGAGCCACTCACAGACAGCTCCCATGTCTTTTAAAAAAAAACTTCCAGAAGAACATGGGGGCATGACAAGAGATTCGGAGGAAACCTTTGCCTACTCCCCAGCCACTGCTTCCTCTCCCGTGAGCCCCTCTGGGCCTAGCTGAAGGAATGGATCTGAGGAAGGACTACAGCCTGACTTCCCTGCTGCTCCCCTTTCAGCCCTGTGATGTTCAACGGGAGGGATTTTGCTCCCCAAGAGACAAGCAATTTCTGGAGACGTTTTTGGTTGTCCCAACTGGGGAAGAAAGCACTGCTGGCATCTAGCGAGTAGAGGTATCTAGTGCAATGTTGTTAACCATCCTCCAGTGCACAGAGGGCCCTCCACAAAAAAGAATTATCTGGCCCAAAATGTCAGCAGGGCCACAGCTGAGAAGCCCTGTATATAGCTGGGTCCTGCCCCTTTTTAGCAGCAGTGGCTTCGGAATGAGGCTTCGGAAGGTCAGGGACTGACCCAGGATCCCAGAGGAGCCCAGCCCAGCCCTGAGCTTGAGCCACAGGCAGGTGCTTCTCTGGCTCTGGAAGTAGAAACTCTGGCAGTCCCTGCCACCTGGGGGCTGCTGGCAGGTGTCGGGTCCCAGAAAGCCTGATCTCCATCCCACCTACGTTGCCTGCTCCCATTCTTCTGAAGCATCAGCCCGGCACGTCTCGAGCAGCGCCCCCTCCCGGCCAGTGCTCAGAGGGTCCACGTGAAGACGGGAGTACTCACAGCACCCATGAGCGCCACCCCAGAGCCAATGTTGATGATGGTGGGGATGATGCTGAACTTCCCTGCCTGGAGCACAGAGAAACAAAGCAGGCTGAACATGGGGCGGGGGCGGGGAGGGCAGACAGTGGGCTCCCTAGGGACTCCAGCATGCCCCACCCCAGACCTGCCCCGCCTCAGGATGGGAGATCACCGCACACACCTTGCCATTCACCATCACATCAAAGCGGATCCCATAGGCTTTCATCAGCGTGCGGAACTCCACTCCAGCTCCATCTCGGTAATATTTGGCAAACCTAGCGGAGACCTTCCCGGCTTGGCAAAGCGCACTTGGCTGCCTTGGAGATTTATAAGAACCCCCAAGCCCCTGCTCTTAGCAGCCATGGGGAAGGTTATGGATCCTCATGCTAAAACCGTGGTAAAGATTCATCCAGATACTTGAAATCCTTACAGACATTCTCTAAGAGGCAAGGGCTTTCCCATGACATGCTGGGCCAACCCAGGGCCACCAAAGCACTGAGGAAGGTGACCCAGCTAAGAAGCCGAGCCTCAGCTTCCCAGTGAGCCCAGAGGGGGACAGAAACTTCTCTCCTCTCCCAGTGATGCCCCTGCCTTCCATCCCTCATCTCTCCTCAGCTCTTTCTCCCTCTACTTCCCACTCTAATACCCATGCCCAGTAAGGGATGTCAGAGTGCTGACACCCAGGAGAGGACAAAATGTGATCAGCATAACAAGACAACAACTCTGCCCCACTTACCTGAAGTTGTACCCAGAGGAGATTGAGTTTTCTGAGAATTTGTTGTCCAGACGGCTAAAAGAATAGTGAGGGTTGCACTCAGAAGGAGCTCTATCAAGATCACAGTCCCATTCAATCTGAATTCCTATCACACCACCCTGACAAAGAAGAGACAAGAATCAGTGCACAGAACTTTATGGAAGAAGACACAGACCAGCTCCTCACAGGGAGCTGGACAAGACCGGGAAAGTACTCAGGCCAAGGGTCAGGCCCACTGGAGCGTCCTTCCAGGAAGAAAGTGGAAGTTCCAGGGTCCTAGCCCCACTTTTGGAGTGGCCGAGAAAAGCACACCGCCTAGAGCGCCCAACCCCAGAACTCTCCTGTTCCATGCTTCCATGAGTGAGCACCTACAATGGGATGGGCACCTCATCCAAGAGCCAGGATGTGCCAGTGGGGCTTCTTCTGACTCAGTTTCCACGGATGCCCCAAGGACTGACAACCAAACAGCAGGTGCTCAGTGTGCCTACCACTGAGTGCCTGAGTTCTGACAGGCTGTGTGTCATACTAATTCTGAAGACAATTCTGAAGACTTGGTCTTCTGAAGAATTAGTCTGAAGACTAATTCTGATGGACTTTGTCCATCCCACTCCAGGAGTCTCCCTCTTCGTGACAGAGCCCAGACCCAGAGCTCTTGGGCCCCCGGGGCCCCCAGGCACGGCTCCCTCGGTGCACAGCACCTACCTGCAGGGCTATCTCCTGGAAGTTGCTCCCCGTCCAGCTGACCACAGATCCCAGTCGGAAGATGGGGCAGTAGGGGTTCTTGGGGCCAAACTGACAGGACTTCAGGAAGGCTCTGTCTTTGGTGTCCAGCACATTGGTCCTGGAGGCCATGAACGTATAGTGACATGAGGCTGAAACGGGCCATTCCCAGGCCAGAGACAGCTTGACCCAGGCATCACTGGGCCTTTCCCTGGCCCAGGCTGAGTCCCTGACTTTAGCCTCAAGTCCTGACTACTATCCCCTTAGTAGTCTCCCCAAAAACCTACTGCATTCAAGGACAGAACCCCATTCCCACAACAAGAGGAAGGGGTGCTCCAGCATCACCCAGTGGTTCATGCACACACGGATGTCACATACACCCATACACCAGGCACACAGCCCCATGCACAGTGACAAGGAGGCAGGCCCCAGATCCCCAGTAACCGAGTCCCACGTACTTGGAGAAGTTGAATTTGGGGAAACGGATGAAGTTCTTTATATAAACGGTGAAGTCTTCAGCCTTGCCCAGGAGTGGCTTCCTGAAAACCAAGCCAGGACAGCCTGTCCAGGAGGCCCTGCCCCTGTTCCCTCTGTACATCCCCCAGGCCTGTGACAGGGCCGAGGCCTGCCTGCCCCCTGGATCCCCTGGAGCCTTTGCCAAGGACCATTAATTTGATCATGTTGGGGTGGTCCTGGGGCTTTGTCGGGTTTCCTCAGAAAGGGGATCCAGAGTAGACGTGTCTCCACCACCAGGCTGAGAACCAGTCTCTGCCCAGATGCTCTTCAGGGTCCCGAGGCTAGAGCCACTCACACTGGCCTGGACTTTGTCTCCACTGGGCACCAGGCGAAGATCTCACAGGTGCCCCTTTGCATGTTCCCCACCCGCAGGCAGCGTCCAGTCTTCACTCCTGCAGGATTGGGACTGAGACAATGCTCGAAGCCTCCTGGCTCCCTTCCCCACTTTGCTCCCAGCCCTAGCTATTCCAGGCCTCACCATTTCCAGCCACAACAGGCTCCCCAGAAGGACAGTCACTGTCTGTGTAGCACCAGGCATCCGGAATGCTTTCACTCTGCCAGAAAGAAAGGACACCTGGGTGGGGGGATTTCCCTGCAGGGGCCCCAGTTCAGAACCAGGTCCCACCCCAGGAATTAGGACAGGTGTTCCTCCCCTGAGTGGGGCTATACACCCTTTGAGAACCTGCTTCTCCCCCAAGCAATGCAGGTACATGCTCTGGCACCCGTATCCCCTGGGGCACTTAGAGGAGATACAAACCCCTGCTTCAGGAGATGGGTGGACCCCAACCACTGCTGGAAGCTCTCCTACCCCCTCCCCAGCTTTCTGCACCCCATCAAACCTCAGCACAGGTTTCCTGCCGCTGGTTGGGGGTCACAATCAAGTTGGTGACTACGAAGAAGATGTTTTCTCCCTGAGGAACCAAAGAGGAGTTGAGGGACATCCTCCTTCCCTCTTGGGGACCCTCGTTCCCAGGCTTCCTGGCAGGGGTTGGGTGTCTGCAGAGGTGTTGAGGACAATGGGGCCACAAAATCAGCAGATTTTGCCCACTGACTTTGAAGTCTCTGAGTAGACATCCTTGGATAGGTCCCTTTCAGGCCCACAATCCCAAACTGCCCCCTCCATGAATTCCTATTCTGAGCTCAGTCCCTGGGATCCAAGCCCAGATCTGGGAGAAGAGGCCCAGGCAGGGTGGCCAAGGCCTGGCCCAGGCCGATTGGGAAAAGGCCAGGGAGCCATTCCCAAGGGCAGTCAGTGGCTAATACAAGGAAGCGGTTCTCTGTTGCCAGGCCACCTGACTCACACTGACCTGAGCGTTCTTGGGGCCCTATTTGGTTTCTACAGGCTCAGGGTTTATTGGGAAGGGAGTGGTCCCATAGACACAGTCAGGGAGGAAGTTGCTGGGCAGGGTCACTGTCTAAACCCTGGCAGCTGTCCTGGGCCAAGGGAGTCCCTAGGTAGCTGAGCACCTTCCTATGTGACCCACCCCGAGCCAGGTCCTGCCAGCCCAGACCCCAGTGCTGCATGGGACTCAGACCTGGGGTGGGATGACATAGTCGGCAACATCCCAAAGCCGCTCCCCAAGCTCAGATGTGTTGGTGAAGGTCACGCCCTTGACTTTGGTGATAATGCTGCTCTGCAGGGAGGTGTCAGTATCTTGGTAACCCTTCTTCACCAGGAACACCCAACTGTAGGGAAAGGGTCGACAGGTGGGCATCAGCCTCATTGCTGTCCTCGGAATTTTCCACAGGGGCTTCACCTTTCCCACCAGCTCCTGGGCAGGGGTCACATTTCTACTGCTGCCTTAAACCTGGTTCTGCAAGCAGCAGAGGTGGCAAGCAATCCTAGAAAAGGGAGATGGCTGCTCTCAGGGGCTGAGGCCCTGAAGATGGTGAAGGCTGGGCTAAAACCTGCTCACCTGTGCCATGGTGATGTGACCTCAGGAGAGCCAGTGAATTCTGGGAGTCAACACAGGGTAACAGTGCCTCCCTCCAGGGGTGTGAAGACAGTTAAAGAAGATGATACATAACCTGAAACTATTCACGGAGAGACTGACAAATCCAAACTAAGAGGCATTCCACAAAATGAGAGTACAAATCCTATATTCTTTGACAACCAAAACACACACAATAAAGGAAAAATAGATAAGTGGAACTTCATCCACATTTAAAACTTTCGTACATCAAAGGACACTATCAAGAAAGTGAAAAGATAACACACAGAATGGGAGAAAATATTTGCAAATCATAGAGTCAAGATCTAGTAACTAGAATATATAAAGAACTCTTACAACTCAGCCATGAAAAAGACAAACAACCCAATTTAAAAATGGGCCAAGGATTTGAGTAGACATTTCTTCAAAGAAATAATAGAGACAGCCAATAAGCCCACGATAAGATGCTCAACATCGTTAGTCATCAAGAAAATGAAAATCAGAACCACAATGAGATACCACTTTACACCAAATAAGATAGCTGTAATTAAAAAAAAAAAAAAAAAAGGAAAATAACAAGTGTTGGAGAGGATGCAGAGAAATTGGGACTCGCTGATAGCTGGTGCAGCTGCTGTGGAAAACAGCTTGGTAGTTGACCCAGCAACTTACTGACAAAAATATATATCCAAGAGAACTGAAAACATATATCCACACCAAAACTTGCACATGAATGTCCTTCATAATGTTATTCATGAGAGTCAAAAAGAAGAAATAGTCCAAACAAAATGTGGGTATTTTTTAGCTATAAATGGAATGAAGTACTGATTCATGCTGTCACATGGATAAACATGGAAAACACTATGTTAAGTGAAGAAGCCACACCAAAAAAAGACCACATGTCGTATGACTTGATTTATATAAAATGTCCAGAAGAGGTAAATCTATAGAGACAGAAAGTACATTGGTGGTTGCCAAGTGCTAGGGGTAAGGGGAAATTCCAACTGGCTGCTAATAGATGTGGGTTTCTTTTTGGGGTGTTGGAAATGTTCTGAAATAAGACAGTGGTTGACAGTTGTACAACATTGCAAATGTACTAAAAACCACTGAATCGTATAATTTTAAATAGTTAAAATCGTGAATTACATGTTAGGTGAATTTTACTTCAACTAAAAAGTTGTAATAAAATAAAAATCCTCTACTTTTCAAAAAACATCAATGTGATGATATACAAGACAGTCTCAGGTATAATTCCAGATTAAAGGAGACTAAGAAGACAAAATGAACAGATGCAAGGCAAGCTTTCAGAATTTTTCTTTTTTGCTATTACAGATAATTATAAGAGCAATTTACAAGAGATCCATAGATTAGAAAATAATATTGTTTCAGTGTTAATGATTTCATAGGTGTACTTGGTTAAGTAAGAGAATTCCTTGGCTTTAAGAAATACGCATTCAAGGGACACCTGGGTGGCTCAGTCGGGTTAAGCCTCTGCCTCAGCTCAGGTCATGATCTCAGGGTCCTGGGATTGAGCCCAGCAGGGAGCCTGCTTCCCCTCCTCTCTCTGCCTGCCTCTCTGCCTACGTGTCAAATAAACAAACAAAATCTTAAAAAAAAAAAAAAAAAAAACAAATATGCACTTAAGTCTTTAGTAGTAAAGGGCCATAATGTCTACAACCTACTCTTTTTTAAAAAAGAGTTATTTATTCACTTATTTATTAGAGAGAGAGCATGCAAGTGCGGGCAGAGAGAGAGAGAGAAGCAGATACCCCGATGATCCCATCTTACACCCGCTGACCATGACTGGAGTCCAAATCAGGAGCCAGACACTCGACCAGCTGAGCCACATGGACACCCCTGCAACTTACTCTTCAACAGCAAAAACTGCATTTATACACACACAACATGCGTATGTGGAGAAAAAAAGGGGAAAGGACAACACAAATGTAGTAAAATGTTAACATCTGAGGAATCTAGGTGAAGGATTTTTTTTAAAGTTTGTACTACTCCTGTAACTTTTCTGTAAGTCTAAAATGTCAAAATACAAAAAAAAAATTTGTTTTTTGTTAATGAGACGGCACATATAAATTGTTTAGCACAGTGAAGGCTGGGCCATGGAAGAACTCAAAATGGGATCTAACCAACCTAGTGTTGACATTTACTGTTAAGGTTAGAGATTGTCCAGGTTAATCCTTTAGAAAAAGTTGGGAAAACGGAGGCCAGGGAAGGGCAGGAAGCAGCCTGCCTGAGGTCATGCAGGAGTGGCAAGTGGGGGGGCGGGGTTTGTTCTGCACCTCTCAGAGTGCCACTAAGGGTTCTTTGGTGCCAACCAGGATGTGCTCACCCTCTTCATCTCTGGGGGAGACCTGCTACATCCTAGGCCCTAGACTCTCCTGTCCCCCGGGGAAACCTGAAAGGGCTGTGACAATGAGCCAACCAGCCATTTTAGTAGGGACACACTGGACCCAGCCTGGACAGAAACATTCAGCAAATGCCCAAGGAACAACATGCATTCTTTCATTCATTTCACACCTACTTTCTAAGTGGTTAGATGATGCCAGGCTATGCCTGCCTTCATGGCATCCCCAAACTGGATGGGAGTCAGACAAGCAAACAATCCCTATGGAATATATCAGGGGAGTGATTCAAGAACCTGGGTCTGAAGGACAAGTGGGCTTTAGCCAAGTAGAGGAGTAAAGGTGTGCCTGGCTGTGGACCGGCATGTACAAAGGCCCTCAGGTGGAAGACATTCAGGTGCCTTAGGGAGGAAGCTCCATGGGCACTTGGCCTCCTTGTGAGGTCAGGGTGGCCCTCTCAGAAGCACCATCTGCTCCTCCCCCAGTCAGGAAATAGGAGGGACTCAACCGCATTCACTAAGGCAGTAAAAGAGGTGCCATTTCCTCGCTCCACCTGTTCCCTCCCTTCTGGGGGGAGGACTCAGTGCCTGGCTGAGCAACTCCCAGGAGTTGCCCCCTCCCCTCATGGTGAGAGGGGTAAAGGGGAGACAGCCCATCCAGCCGGTTGCTGCGGGGTAGTGGGCCTCTGGGCAGGATTCCTAGCCGGACACGAGAAAGGCCAGCCACGGGTGGGGTGAGTTGACAGAAGCGAGTGCCGGGACATGCCAGGCTGCTGAGTTGCCCCAGCCAGGAGCTTGGCACATGAGCTCAGTGATTATAAATAACCCACCCGGTGCCCCGGGCCTGCACCAGGCCAACGCACCAGGGAGGCTCTCAGGGCAACAGCTGGAGCGCAGCCCCCTGCATCTTTGCCCCCCTCCCCCAACACCCAGAGTTCCAGCCAGAAGGAGCAGCCCACAGAGAGCCTCATAAATGAAGGAATGCTAAGTCCCTGCTCGCATCTCATCACCTCCAGAGCCGGTGGGGTAAACAGTGGGCTCTCTGTTCACCTGCCCCTCTTATACCCAAGAGCCCCTTCCCAAGCACAGGGACCGCGCATCCATTTCCCCGGCCCAGAGCCTCCCTGAAAGACCCCGGAGAACTCACACCACCAGGTAGGTCAGGATGGAGACCTGCAGCAGCCGGTAGAGCAGGCCCACCTTCTTGTTCTTGGCGATGACATACTTCTCGGTCTTGTAGTCGAACAGCGACTGGGACAGCCCCTTGCAGCCCGCCTGCCCCATGGCGCCCTGTCACCTGCGCCCGCCGCCCGCGCCGCCACGCGGGTGCCGCATGGGAGCCGCCTCTCGCCGCCTGCTCCGCGCCGGCCCCGGGCGGCTGGGCACTGCGGCTCCCGGGGGCGCGGCTCCAAGCGGCAGGGTCGCCGGGGCGGGGGCGCGGGGCCGGAGGCTGGCAGGGCGGGGAGCGCGCGGGGGCGCCGGCCGCTGCTGGCGACGCTGCGGAAGACGCCGCTGGGGGGTCGGGGGCCGGGGGTGGAGGGTGGAGACCTTGCAAACGACTCTCCCTCTTCCTCCTCCCGTGACGATGACACACTCCTACGAGGGCATTCTTGAGGCGCAGGGCCGCCCGTGAGGCCCCCCAGCCGGAAAGCAGAAACCGGGCGCTGGAGGAGCAGGGGCGAGGAGAGGAGAGTAGGAGGGGCTGCTTCTCCAGCAACCCCACTTTTTCTCCTCCCAAAGCAATCCTGGGGTGGGTGTTGGATAGATTGAATAGATGGGGAAACTGAGGCCAGGGGAAGAGGGACCTAAGGCGCAGGAAGTGAAGGGGGGTAAAGAGCATTTGCAGGCAGGCACCCTGGGTTTGATTTTTCCTGCTCTGGGTGGGGGGGGGGGGACCCTGATTCTCACCACACAGGCTGAGGGAGTCTGAAGACTTGCCTGACCCATGGCTCCTGTGTCCTCTGTGATAAAGTGGGTGTTGCCCCGGGAACAGCTGCTGTTACTTAAAACCAGACGCTCCCAGGGAGTCAGTTGCCAAGCAGGTCCCAGCACCCACAGCATGAAGAACCCATAGGGTACCTAGGACAGACAGATGGGCTGGGGGTGCCAAGATGCAGGCAGAATCACAAAGTATGCTTGGAAAGAGTTCAAACCAACCATCTGAAACGTTCCCAGAGCAAGAGATGGGCCTAATCTAGGGTGCTAAAACCATACCTCTACTCACAACAGGTGAAATTAAGAGGGAATGGGCACTGGGATGAAGTTTTAGATCAGTTTTAGAACTTGTGACAGCCACAAAAAGGCAGGTCCTGTGTGTTTCTGCATCCTGCCATCTGACCGGAAGCAGTCCTGCTCCTCTCTACGCTGGCCCTTCACACACCTTCCCTTCCCTGAACCACAGTCTCCAGGGCTTGGAAGGGTCCCAAAAGTTCACCAAGGTGACTCTCTCTTAAAGTAAAGGCTACAAGGCAGTGGGTGTCCAGTTTTAGTGTGCATGGGAATCATTTGGAGGCAAAATGCAAATCCCTGTGCCCTGCCTCTGATATTTTCATTCCCTAAGTCTAGGATGGGGCCTGGGGATCTGTATTTTGCTCTCAAACCGTCGTTTGGGAAGCAGAGATCTTTAAACCTTTTCATCAAATTCAAACACCATTTCCTCAAAAGGTGTATTCTTATTACCATCCCACCAAAAGTGGCTCCTACCCCAGTCACTTTCTACCCCATTTACCCTTCTTATTCCCTGAAAACACTTGTCATTCTTGCCTAGGATCTTGTTTACTTATTGACCGTGTCCCCCACTAAGACCATAAGCTCTTGGAGCATGGGGACCTTGCCTTTGGACATCTGTGTCTGATGTCCACTGCTGTATCTGCCATATATTAACTCAATACATATTTGTCAAGTGTGTGAACAAACTCAGCTCCGATTTTTTAAACAGGGAGGGATTTGGAGCTGCTGTCCTGTCCCAGTCATGAGTGGGGATTTTAGAAGCTGATATCATCCTGGGGGGAAGGTTTGGGAATTGTCACTAGACCTCACTTCCTCACTCTCCTACCAGCCTCTTCCTCAGCGCTCCTTTCACATGGCTCTCCGGTACTCAGGGGAGAGGCAGCCTCAATGGAGTGACATCACACCTGTGAAGATTCTATCGAACTGAGCCCACGAGGAAAGTAGCCTTTCAGGGTCTCAAGATCTGGCTTAAGAAGAGCTTGAGGCTGAAAAACACCACTCCACAGGCCTCTTATCCTTGCATAAGCTGCATATAAGATGGTGCCACAATGGGTCTCTCCACTCCCCAAAGTGATTTCCAGGCTTTGTGGCCTGGACTATTTATTCTGCTGTGAGATCCCCAGAGACACAGGCCTTCATTTTTCAGGTTGGGTAACTGAGGACCCAGGTCATTGGGCAGAGCTTACAGCTAGCCCCAGTCCAGGGCACACTCCCCTGTTCTTGCTTGCTCAGCCCCTCCCTGTGTGCTGCTGCTAAGGCTGAACTGGAAAGCCCCCCGTCCTCTATATGTGGCTCGTCCTGACTGCTGCTCTGGCTTTAGAGAAGGGGCTCTGCTCTAATTTGCAGTATGGGCAGCCCTTCCTGAACACCCCATGACTCAGCGAAGACCAGGCTGCAGTTTCTGATAGAACTGTCATAAAGCTTTAGGGACCACATGTGGTAGAACTGGAAGGGAAAGGGCCACTTTTGGGGTCAGGCCAGACCCCTCCTGTGGGTTACCTCATAGCACAGCTTCTCAGACTACTAGGTCCAGACCCATCAGTGGGTCATGATACCCACTTACTGGGTTACAAACAGCATATCCCCTGCTCAAAAGAGGAAGAGAGAAAGAGAGAGAGAGAGAGAGAGAGAGAGAGCTATCAGTGTGCTTATTAAGGAAGCAAGTGTAGGCACAGTTTCATGAAACTGTTGTTTGGAGTATGAGTGTGTGCATATGACGTGGAATGTATTTCTTCCTGGGGTCATGGTCAAAACACTGTGTGAAATGCTTCTGGAGAGCTGCAAACCCAAGTGTCTGTAATCCTCCACATGGGAGGACAGCTCACCACCCCCACAAGTTCAGCTTGACACTCAATACACCTGAAGTGGGAGAAGGGGCCTATGCTTTTTACATTTCCCTTATAAAATTCTAAGTCAGGGATGTTTCCAAAACTAAGATGTATTCTCCACTTGAAAGAAAATTGCCTGTTACTTTTTTAATTTTATTTTATTTATTTATTTGACAGAGATCACAAGTAGGCAGAAAGGCAGGCAGAGAGAGAGGAGGAAGCGGACTCTCCACAGAGCAGAGAGCCCGATGCGGGGCTCGATCCCAGGACCCTGGGATCATGACCTGAGCCGAAGGCAGAGGCTTTAACCTACTGAGCCACCCAGGCGCCCTGCCTGTTGCTTTTGAGTGACAGGTTCTCCAGTTTCTACCTAACCCCATGGCCACAGTCTTAAGAGCCCCCAAGTACCCTGTTCCAGTGATCTTCCCCAGCAAGGTGTCTCAGCACCCACTGCTTGCTCAGCCTTCTTCTGGATGCATTACGTTTGTTGGCTCACTTAATCATCACAACCGTAACGCCTACGTGGTTGGTACAATCATTATGTTTACATTTCCCTAAGAGGCTAGAAGTGTCTCCTAGTAAGCACCTGAGCCAGAATTTGAATCCAGGTGATCTGGCTCTGCAGCCCAAGCAATGATGTCCACTGTCACAATAAGCACAGTGCTTTACAGTTTCCACATTAACTCATGTGACTCACTCTGTGAACCCAGCCGGAGAGGTAACTCTCAATCCTATTATGCATTTGATGGAACAAGGTCCTAGGTCACCTGAGAAGCTATAGTCAGTCCTGGGTCTCCCAGCCATCCACTCAAGGCTCAGTCCTCTAGAACCCGTGGCTTCTCTGGATGACAGTGTGGAGCTCACACATTTGCCCTGCTACTGTGGAGGGAGGTCACTGCTGAGGCCCAGTCATAGAGGGCTCCTCAAAGACAACAGACTCTCTCATGATGCCATATCAGAGTGAGGGGTCATTCAAGAGAATGGGCACCATCTTTGGGAGCTCGCACTGCTGCTGGGGGAGAGAGCACTCTGGCATGGCAAGAACTGACTGAGTGCCTTGAAACTTCACTTCCTGTCAGGGGTCAGGGATGAATGGCCTGTCTTCAGAGTAGCCAAAACCCCTCCCTGCCTCACCACACATCCCTTCCCTCTCCTCTCCCAAAGGTGTCTATATGATGCTTCATTATGAGTGCTGTCCACTTGAAAGAAGGCTTGGCAGTGAGTGAATTTATCTATTCTCATCTTGTTCACAAGACTTTGTCTAGCTCAGTGACCTAAGGTACCAGCAATAAAGTGATGGGGAATTATAAAATGAATTTCTAAAAGGCCTTTTTCCTTTTTCTTTCATCTCACTTACTCCTAAGACCTGCCAACATTTTAAACCTATTGTTCTGTGTGGTTTGAACCCATTGCTGTGGCCATCTTGGTCTGCTCTGTGTCCTGGGATAATCTCTAGTTAAAAATATTGTTGATCTTCAGGGTGCCTGGGTGGCTCAGTTGGATGAGTATCCAACTTGATTTTGGCTCAGGTCATGATCTCTAGGTCCTGGAATCGAGCCCTGTGTCAAGCTCTGTGCTCACTGGGAAGTCTTGAGGATTCTCTCCCTCTCCCTCTGTTCCTACCCCCACCCAACTTATGTTCTCTCTCTCTCTAGAATAAATAAGTAAATCTTTAAAAAAATGGCAGATTCTCAGGTGTAAAAATTGAAACAGGCAGATCCTCCACATGTCCCCCCAAAGAAATGTGTTAGTGCTTTACTTAGTGGAAAGCAGGCCCTCCTGACTCTGATTCCAACCTTTTCCCCATACCATTCTCTCTTCCTTCTCCTATGAATTTTAGAGATTATAAAGGAGGAAGTATGGTACAATAGAGTGAGCCTTAGAGGCAGGAGAATTGCAAGGAAATCACCCCTTTAATCAAGAAAAACCCATTCTGTAGGAGATGAGAAGGAGTTTCTAGGAGGGAAACCATGGGCTGGCTGCAGGTGGGTGGCACCACTGTGTTTCCATCAGAGGCCTGGAGGTTATCACTTGTTCACCCTGCGGCCTCCAAAGACACATGGTTTCCTCCTTTTCTCTCCAGCCCTAGTAAGGGCTTCTCCCAGTATTAGAGCTTTTCCTTTAGTCTGAGGAGACTAACAAACCCAGAAAATGTTCCCCCCAAAATTAAAGGAAGACAAAGAGAAATTAAAAACCTCACAAATTCCATAAAATAATATGGTTCTTGGAGGTTCAGATATTACTTACACATAGTGAATGTGTTTCTGCTTCCCACCCCCAAGGAGAGGAGGGTTCATGCAGGGCCTAGAGGTAGAAGATTTGAGTCTATGCTGGGGCACAAAAGGAGGTCACAGCAATGTAAGAAAGGCCTTT